TAAATTTCCAATTAAATGAACAGGAAAAAAAGGAAGGGGGAGTTAAAAAAAAAAAAAAAAAAAAAGGTGAAGGGTCTCCAGCCAAAAAAATCCCAACAAGAAATAAAGATAAAACATGCTGAAATAAAATCTTAAAACCACAAAAAATCCCTGCGGACAAGCCGCTATAAACTAGCCTAATGCGTCTTCCATGACGCTGGTAGACCACTATTCATGTCGCTATGGAAGAGTTTTAAACTGGGCATTTTTGTGAAACTCCTGACTCACAACAGTCTCTAAGCTGACTTTAAACAAGGAGTTTTAACATAGTCATCATTATAATCATGCTTTGCTCCCTATCAACTTGATTTGTTTGGGCACGGCGATGATAGCTGAGTGAGGTTCAAGGAACAACAAACGATTTAACTGCAAGTAAACCATCGTTTACCAGTCAGTCTGTCTTTCCCTCTTTCATTAAGACTGGCTCTATTTATAAAGGCCATAAATTCCCCTAACCACACTGAAAGAGCATTCAAGGAGAGAGTTAATCAGGAGTTTGTAGAACAAAAACAATCTCACTTCCCTCCTTTTTGTAGCTTTTCGATTTGCTCACTGAGATTAGTCGTGTCGTTTATTTAGAGTTCCTCCACTAGATTCCATAATCGATAGATGGACGGTGGGACAGCGTAGACCACAGAGAAAGGGAATAATAACAGGACTGTTTTTTCAGACTCCATTTTCTTCATCGCTGCTTATGGAGACCTGAAAACCCTTTTCTTTACTTTCTCCCCACCTGGCTCAGTTTCTACAACACGTTACGTCCTTGCAGCAAAGCTGGGTCAAGAGTCACTGCAGAACTTGTAGTCGTTCTTCCTGAAATCTCTTGGCAAAGAAATGCAATCCCTGGAGCATTACGGTGATGGAGCTAAACTAAGCTCTGACACACTTTATGAACACATCCATATGCATCCTGATGTCCCACTTCTTCTTTCTGGCCTTGTTCTTTCCCTTCAGTATCAGGACACAGGCCAACACTGTAGGGAATTGTCTAATTTTAAAAACAATCTGTCACAGATACGGCCAGAAAAAGGTGGGAAAAAAGTTGAAAGACTAACCCAACTAGTCCTAAGGTTTCACAGCAGCGGAATGACAAAAGCATTTTCCTAATACATGCGCACACAAATAGAAATGCAAGCCTCAACAAGTCTAACATATCTTGCCAAGCCCTTAGCAATAACCTTTTCATTCTCATGAGTGTGGTAACTTTAACTGACTGTATTCACACCTGACAGGTCGATAGCCTCGGTTTGATTGGAGACCAAAATTTGTTGTAATACCAGTTAATGGTTTGCTCATGAACCAAACACTTGGTTCATTTGGTTCACACTGATTAACCTGTTTACTCCCTCACCTGTGGTGGGGTTGCATCAAGAACCTCTGTAAGAAATGACATGCCAACCTCTGACGAAGACATGAGCACAACTTGGACACAAAAATGGAGAGGGATCAGATTTTAGCGGATGTAGGACTTCTCTTTTGTCGGAAACAACCACGAGTCATTTCTCCTGCTGGTGCTAAACACGTGCGTCTGGTTTGGTTGTAATTACCGAGAATGCCCTGTGCTGTAGCCCATTTCCTGCTTTTGGAGTGGCCTCCAGTTTGCTTGGCATTCACAAATCCATTTGAGCCGCACCTGAGTTGACCTCAATCAAGCCAAAACCTAGGTTTGTAGGCAAACCAGAGTTCGCGTTTTTGGTCCACATCAGACCAAACAAAACTAACCAAAGTTCAAATAAAGCAGGTTTATTCAGACATAACATATGCCTAATGCTTCTTTCTCCCAAAGCTACATTGACCAATGCCTTACAGATCAATCAAACTGAACTGTGTCAAAGTCTCAGATCAATTTCACTTACTTCAGACTCAATTGCTAGATTATTCCTGACGCAGTGAAGTAAATATTCTCTAAAGATCTTCAGAATCTGAAAATAAGTGTAAAACTAGAAATCGCAAGTTCAGAGATGGATAACTGTTACAAAGTGCACTCATGATTCTGCTAAATGAAGCAATCTAGTGAGGATCGCCTTTAAAGTCATGGGACTGCAGATGTGGACGTCATATCTCAGGTAGCCTTCATTACCAGGTGCACCAGCTGTACACAGGGACAACGCATGCTGCAAAGGGACTCATTAGAAATCTCCTTGCAGCCACAGTTCAGCCTGTTCCTTTGCACTCGTTCTGCCTCAGACTTGACACAAAAACTCACGAATAACCTGAAAGTAGACTCAGGAGAGCGGGTTACAAATTTGTTTTAGATTAAGTCAAATGAGGAGGTCAGACAACATTTTGGTTAAGCATTACATATTCACAAGCTATAAAAGTAAAATTTGTAAGAGTTAACTGTGAGACAAGTTTTCCAGTAGTACTAATTTGCTCCCCACACCTCTTAGGTCATCATGCAAAACCAAAATGCACATCTAACCAGACTCAAGTAGTTCTGATTAGTGTTGCATTACAAAAAAGGAAACAACCGTTTTTAATGTGATTCAAGCTGAGGAGGATTACCAGGAAACCTGGATTATTAGAGTAAATAAAACATGCATTTGTTAGGGTAAAACAAACACACTGTAATTTGAAAAACACAGAATGAATCAAACTAATTTTGAAAGATAATACTATTAAGCAACATAATACTGATCAGTTCTAATAATAGGCAAGCATGATCTCATCAAAACTAATGAGAGATAACAAACCCAGTTCCTTTGTGCCACTTATCTGCTTCTCCACAGTTTCACACAACCACCAAGATGTGCTAAACTCCAAACTGAAGGTTAGCTGGTATTCCTTCCCATCCCCCCCGTCTTATCCTCCACCACTGTCAGATCTGTAGCAGGGTAGAAACCATTAACGGGGGCCCATATGGCCCCTTTCTTTCAATTGATGGCAGGGAGCCATTCTGTAGGCCGCTTGAGCGTTTTCAAGCACTTTAAGGAGGAATGGGGTATAAACATACTGAGAGGTATTGATGGATTCTGATCCTAACAACAGCATTTGTGTAATCTGTGAAATAGACGAAAGAAGCTCATACTATGTGGGAAACGCTAATTCAATAATAGTAAATTTGATTAATTAGAGGTCTTACAGCTATTATTAGTATATCAAACATCATCAAGGATGTGAAGATATGGAAATTGTATATTTCTGTTGCTCACCAGATTTATAATTTGCATTACATATTGACTATATCTGGTATGACAACACTTTGCATATTATTATTTTTGTCATTAGTGGTGTTCTTATAATTTTTTTCTTCATATTATCTGGGTGGATTTAAGAATCTTAAGCTGTCTTTCTCTTTCAATCTCCAATATGCTAATTAAGCTATTTTTGTGCATTTTGGTGAGCTAAGTAACTTCTTAGAGACATGAAATTTACATCTAGCATTTTAAAACACTGTGCTACACACTATGCCAACAACTGTTTGGTTTGTATCCGTTAGATACTATATTTTGACGCCCAGAGCAAATGCCAAACCCAGCACCCATATTTGTTACCCACTATAACCAAATATGGGTTTAATTCAGTAAGACATTATTAGACCATCAGTAAAACAGATAAACCAAGTAATCAGCCAAAGATTGGACAATCTTTTTTTCTTGATCGGCTCTGATCGATGAGCAAAAAAACATAATTGTCTAAATATTTTAACCATTAATTAAAGCATCAAAATTAAGAATTCCCAGCTTTATTTGTCTATAAGTACATAAAAAATCAGAATAGATATTGGCGCACTTTTTGTAAACTTATAAAAGTCTAAGGACACAAATAGTAATAAACTTGCCATCACTGTTAGGAATCCAATTTCGAATTGGATTCCTAATTACCACCTTTAGCAAAGTGTGTTATATTTCTTGGAATCAAACATCAGCATTAGTGAAATCTTGCAGGTTAAATCTCAAAGGGTATCAGCATTGCCCAGGACAAGCCTCAAAAGTGCATCTCTAATGTATAAGTATTATAATTAAAATATCTCGCTGTAAAGTCTGAGGATCAGGGCATCAACATATGGTTGCCAGACTGACATAAGGAAGCCTGCCTATGAAGTTTCAGAAATGTCATGTGAATAATCTTACCAATATGTCACCTAAGTGCTAAGCATAAGAGGTGACACATTTGACGCTGTGGCAAAGGTTTCAGCAGTCTGTCTCTCATTGCTAATAATATTACTCATCAAGTCGGATATATTTAGAAACGGTAACAAGTTACAAAGCAGTTATGTGTGAGAAAATGCATTTAGACAACAAATACAAGAGTTCAGCAAAAGCAACAAACCTTCACACAGCTCGTCACACCGGTGTTTTGTATAATTTTACCAATCATAGGCAATCGCATCTGCACTCAGCCATAAATTGTGCCCCGTGCAGCACATAAAAACATCAGTTACCATGAAGTGGTGATTGTGTTAAGCTACAGCAGCCTCTCTTCTGGAGAACCCTGGCTGGACTGCAGGGAGACAGCGGCAGCTATAAAACCATGGACTCTCATTGATTTCAACAAGGCTCCTGCTCACTCAAACAAAACAACCCACTGTCATTTGGACTGATAAATCACATTATGCATTTTGAACAAGTCGAGCTACATTTTCCAAACTCCTTTAGACACACGGTAAAATATCAGGCCATGTTCTTAACACTAAACACCAAAATCAGTCCTTTTGGGGGGTTACAAAAGCTGTAAAACCTCAATTTATGATGACAGACACGGACCAATAGTTAGAAGCGACTACACAGTAACTTCCTTTAAGCACTTAGCTTCTTTATTAGATAAATAATTTAACAACAGAAATCCAAAAGATTTCTAAACGACTTGATAAGCTTAAACTTAAAAGAAAAAAACTGCTTTCAGAGACGCGAGTTAGATTAACAGCATTCATTTAACGTACCTTTTCCTGCTGTTTGTCTCATTGTCCTGGTGTAATCCTCACAGCAGCATTCCCCGCGATTCAACAGAGTATTTGTCTAAATTCACAAACACGGCGCTGCTGTGTTTCTTTGTTTTCTTCTCGTCTGATAGGAAACAAGAGTTGATTCAAGCAGGCTAACAGCAGCGGTGGGTTCCCAGTCAGACAAAGCTCAGTGTTCAGTCAGTTTCGGGGTTTGAACGGACGAAACAGCCCGAGAAAAAGACATATCCGCATCCTCCTTTTTGACGTTTCAGAATAAAAACACAATATCGTCTCAGTGAGGAAGAAAACAGGACCAAAAAGTCAATTATATCATAGCAAACGGTGTGGTTATAGTTCGGCTAACCAGCTAGCCTGCCGCTACTTCCTTTCTCCTTCCCTGCTTTAATAACAGTAGCAGCCTGAGCGTTGAGAAAAGTTGAGGAAAAAGGCAGATTCTGCACAATGAAGGCACCCTGTTGCTGCCAGGCGTTTGTTAGAGGGCAGCGCCCCCTGCAGGATTCGAGGGTCAGTGCTGCAGAGTGGAACAAAAGCTTTGAAACAAGCTGTGCGGAATCAGTAGCGCCACCAAGAGGAATTTAGGGGGATAACTTGTTAGGCAGAAACGATTATGGCGCATACGTCAAGGTATGCGACTTAATGTGAGCGGCAAAGTCGTCTTGGAAATTAAAAGTAAGCTTGGGAACGTGGGATTAAAACATACAACGGTCTGTGTATAATTTTGATTGATAATTTGTATAAAAACTAATAAATAATCAAGTTAGTGATAATAATAATGGCCATAACCAAGCAAAATAACGCTGTAAATTTAAAATGTACCTAAATCTACCTTAATTTGACGATGAAAATACACCAAATAACTACATTTAATTCGCTTTTAGTGACAATATCTACAGTATGTTTATTCCAGCTGTTTTGTTTTGTTTTGTCAAATATTAAAAATGAGGCGATTGGCTCTTTTAACCTTGCTTAGATTTTTTTTTCGTAATTTATCATCTACAAGTGCTATAATTATATATAGTGTTATATAATTACTTATGTTCGTTTGAATATAAAAATCCTGTGGGGACAACGATCTTTCTCCTTAAAAAGCCCTCCAATTATCTTCCATACATATTCACACTAAACCTTATGCTCAGATGCCCCACAGGGTCATGTTTGGAGCTAAAAAAATAAACATACTTTTTCTGCAGCAAGCAAACATTTCTGCAGGCATTCTCAACTTTCAAACCAAGCTCGTCGTAAACTAGCCTTTCTTAATATCATATAATACTTCATTAGGCCACAAGATGTAGTCATTGTACACATTTTCACTTAAGTAACCCTGCGTCATGTGTAGGTGAAGGGTCACTGCATAAATGACGTCGATGGGTGCCACCAAGTAATTGATATTGAATGGTGTTTATAACACACCCTCCTTGCTCCTTTTATCAAGCACCCCCACTTATAAAGTGCCATTTGCCACAGATAGCAGGAAGAAGTAATTTGTTTTGAACATAGTTCAGATTAAGTTTCTTTTGTAACATTAATAACCACTGTGGCCAGTGTTGCAGAACTGTTTTTGTTAAGTGCTCAGAACCAGCACAGGTATTTTCGTCATGATTAATCATCAGTCATAACAATCGGGATTAATTGATTATTTAAATAATTGTCACCTCAACTAATTATGTAATTTATTAATCCTTAAGTACATAAATAGTAGTTAAACTGTTCTTATTTAAAAATGTAACTGAAATATGTGTTTGTTGGCATCTTTTAATGTATTTCTAAAATTGCATAGACATTCTTTAGTAAATGAAAAAGCTGTAGAATGTGTCAATTTTTTTTATCTGAATATTCATAAAATTAATCGATTACTGCAAAAATTGTTAGTTGCAGCCGTAGTTCGCTCTTACTAGTCAACACCCTGCATGTTGTTTGTTCGTTTTTTGTTGGATTTGCGGGATTTGGTGGCTGTCATTATTTAAAGCACAGCAAACATTTAGAAAACACTCTGTTTAAAAATGTGCCATATAATTGGCTTCCTTTTAATGTTTTGGGATGTTCCATAAAATTGTCACCAATAACCTAAGGACTAATTTGTTAATGTTTCCTAGTTCTGCTACTCTAAAACATGAATATTGTCTGCACAATTGGACAAATTTCTTAGTCAAATTTGATGTAGCCCATTTTAAAAATCATGTTTTCAACACATTTTTAGTTCTAAACCAAAACAAAAAGAAGATATTTTATGTGTTGTTTTGCTATAAATAAATAAACACATTGAGTTGAATGGGGTTAGTTTCTAAATACAGGTGGCTAAATGCATTACAATCATATACGAAGATGTAATATTGAATATTACTAAAACTCCTGATGTAGTTGTGTTTGTTTTCACACACAGTCAGTTCAAGTCATTGTTGCATTGGTACCCAAAACACTTGAATTAAAGGCATGTAGACTAACTTTCATGGCTTTTGCAGGGTTTTTATTTCTAATATAAATGATTTGAGCTTCTAAACTAAAAAAAAAAGAAGATGTTAAAAAAATAATATCTTGTCAACACTAATTTAATTTAATCTAGGGAAAGAACAAGGCCAGAAAGAAGAAGTGGGACATCAGGATGCATATGGATGTGTTCATAACACTAATCTAATTTAAAGTGTCAGTCATAATCAATAAATATGAATATGATTGCCACATATGCATATTGGGACATTTGAACCTCCAAGGGTCACTCAAAGTTCAGCTCTGTAACAACACAACCTGTACTGTTTAAGGCAAGTAGGAGGTAATACTGCATTGATGTCTCAAAAAAAAGTAATCACTCTCAGCTCACTGGACCTAATAATAGTTATCTTCTCAGGGATCTCTCATGGCTTCCTGAGAAGAGGAAGAAGGGAACGTGACAGCATATAGAGATAAAGAGGAATTTAAACAAAAAAAAACATCCTCACTAACAAGTTTCTTGATGTCCACGCCACAGAAAATCCTCTTATAATTGCACCGAGCTTAAATGTTTGACTAACTAATGACTAATGACTATGCAATTTATAGTCCCAGCATCATCCACTTCACAGAGGTAAATCATCCAGTAATTTTTCTCCTCTGTCAGAACGCTGATATATGTTGGTGTTTTCCCCTCTTCTTGTGCTAAATGATGTGCTCTCTGTATTCCTCTCTGTCTTTTTAGTGATTTGTTCCACTTCCCTTGATGCTGTGCAGAGCTGATGGCAGAGTTGTGGGCCAGCAGTAGAAATTTAAAGAGTAAAGCATGTGGCCATCTTTGCTATCAGTCCAACCCCTGCTAGTGCAGCTTTGAGTCTTGTTGCTGAGGCAATTTCACAACCATTCACACCTTCACACATTAGATTAAAACATCTGAACTCAAGATACAAAGACCGAACAGGTGCATCAGTTTTAACTGCAAGACTTTTCACAAACTTCCAAAAGTCTGAAACTCACCCTTCACTTATTTAAATCTATGCACTGAAAAAAGAAAACAGGTGGTCCTACTTTAAAAAAAGGAGTTAATTAGTTACGACTAATCAAATTAAGTTTATCCAAGTGAATATGTTAAGTCTATTAAGTTGCCATGTTAAGCAAGTGTAAAAGTAAGTTTGACAGATTTAATTTGATTACATGTAATAAAATGAGCTCAGTTTTTAAAAGTTGGAGCTCCATTCTGTTTTTTCAGTGTAGGGGTCTTTCGGATGAGAAGTGAAACATCTTAAAAGGGTAAAAAAAGGAATCCCAGTTCTGCCCTCTATTCAAGCGCTCAGTATCAATATGAACAGGATGAATCTATGCAAACCTATATCACTTACCATCTGTGGTGAGGTGAAAGTATGATAGACAGTGGGAAAATATTTTTTTAAACTGTATGACTTGGATCAAAGGTTTTGGGTTTCTTTCCACAATCATCTCACAATGGTTTGCTACAATTTTGGTCCATTTCTCCTGACAGAAACTATAACTGAGTCAGGTTTATTGACCGCCCAACACACATTTTCAGCTTTTCCTACAAATTTTCCAAAGGATTGAGATCAGGGCTTTGTGTTGGACACAGCAAAACATTAACTTTGTTGTCCTAAGGTAACCCTGAAACTAATTTAGTGGGATAATTGGGGTCGTTGTCCCTAGGGAAGAGTCATCTATGAAAAGCTTAAACATCCTGGGCGATATCTCGAGAAGTTTTTTTTCAATATCAACACATAATATTCTTCCCTCTGTTATTACAGGTCTCAATTCTCTGAGTAATGACACCCTTCCCCCTTAAATGTGATACGAAATGTGATTTACACATCTGGAAATGATACCCTAGGATGGACTAGGATATCCACATATTTCCAACTTTTATCTTGGCTAATTTGTTTACATTTTTTCCTCAATGTCACACAAAGAAGCAGTGAGGTTCAGGTTTTGGCTTACAATACACGCACATGTGCACTTCCATTTTACTGAAATGTTGTGAATTAACTTGTTGGAGGCCATGACGAAGCCATGACTTCATCACCCGAGTGATGAAGTCACTCTCTCATTCATATGGCATTCAGCAAACAGAAATAATATTTGTAATTTTTACTGACCTAAGAGAAAATTTTAGTATGATTTTTCAAACAGTGCATTTTTATACAATGTGTGTGTAAACTTATGGTTTGAACTGAAAGCCCTTTCTTCTTTCATTCAGCTTCTAACAGAGAGCATCTTTGTAAGTTTATGATTTTTAAATTTGTGTCTCCTTTCTTTTATCCATATTGGTTTAGGTTTCCTTCCAACCCAGATATGCAGCATCTGATAAGAAGGTGTAACCCCAACAATATAAACTGCCTACGTGGTCAGCCTCCTATTTTGAGCAAAGTGAAACTCTCCTCCCGACTTCGTATTGCTAGGCAAAAAATGAAGAAAAGAATAATAATTTACTGAAAGTTGGTGAGTGCAAATTAGTATTTCTATCCTAACTAGAACATTGAAAACGTCACTATTATTTGCCCTCAGTAACTTGATGTTTACCTAACAATAATGCTTAACTTAGCCTAAAAAAGTTAGGATTATTGACTGAAACTAAAATAACCTCAAACTTTAGACCAAACCGTTACTGCTTATCCTAAAAATGTTAATCAGAAAATTTAGAGCTGGACAGTAATCCCAGTCAGTGATCGACTGGTAACTAACTTTACCAGAAAAGGCTTACAGAGGCAACATAAACAAGCCCACACTCTTCAGCACACGCACTTGTGGTTAAAATATAACTCCTTGTGGTTACAGTGGTGTTTGAACACATATTTCCAGAGTAAGGGCGTTTTCAACAGTCATGGGTGTTTTTTGACACCTCTAGCTGTTGCAGGCTGTTGTCTGTTTGCTTCCTTCTGCTATATTTTCCGATTATAGAAGCAGCATTTTATGAAAAAATAAATAAATAAATTTATTCATTCACTTGTTCTGCGTCAACTTAATTTAAGTGACGCATCAAACTCACCCACTCCCCCCCCCCCGTCATCTCAAAACGAGAAGTGGTGCTCGAGTGCATTGAGCGTGAATGCACAGAAAAGGCTGGGCCTTCCCTCAGTGCTGTAGGTCAAGTATGTTGCACAGTTCATAGCATCATTTATTAGACTAAAATTTTAATTCTGTGCATTATACAGATGGGAAGCCCAGGATGACTTTTGCATTTAAAATCCCTTTATAGATTCATTGTTTAAGATAATTATTTCTTCAGAAAAAGAGAGCTCTGCTGTTTGATATATTTAACTGATTGTTTTTTCTTTTTTAAGATTTAAGTTAATTTTGCATGTTTTTTTCAGCAAAGAATCACATTACAAGAGTTACAGTCTACTTTTTTCCCCAAACATGTTCAACTACAAGCGATTTGCTTATTTCTGATGGTCGCGTGTCTCTTTGTGGAGCTTGCAGAATGCCTCATATGTTGGCCGTGAGCATGATTTTGTGTTAACATTTACAATAAAAGCAGTTTTTGATCTGTTCTGTTGACTGTTTTTATTTTGTGACCTAAAAGCAGCAAAGCAACAACCACAGCTGTGCGACGAAGCTAAATGAAACCCTTTATCTACAGGGAGGGGCACCTTTCCATCTGATGGGAGTTCCTGTTTTTCTCTTGCACCTTCTGAGAAATACCAAGTGAAAGAAAAAAAAAAGTCCCTTTAAATTAGATACTCCTGGAGTCCTGAAGCTGTGAGTGCAAGTGAACAGTCTTGCCACATATCCTTCAAAATATTGAGTCATGATTCAGTTTTTTTGCAAAACATACAACTGTTTGAGGGGGTGGCAGATGTTTTGAAAGACCCTTTCCCGCAAAAGCTATTGGAGGTCAGACTAAGTTGAATATCTGACGCTCAGTAAAAGTTTCCTTTATGCATTAGTATGGAAATTCACTATAAGAAATTTCATATTGCTGAAGTTAAAAAAAAATAATAATAACATTATGCCAGAAGGATTTCATTTTAAAACTTTTAATTTGTGGGTGTAAATGCTCACAATTGTTTCTTTAGGCAATGATGACAGCACAGGACGATGGTAATCTCTCTGTTGCATGTGCAAGTGCATCTATGTGTGTGTGTGTGTGTGTGTGTGTGTGTGTGTGTGTGTGTGTGTGTGTGTGTGTGTGTGTGTGTGTGTGTGTGCGCGCATTTTGGGTGGGGTGTGCAACTTTACTCACACAGGCTTATTTCCCCATCAAAAATGAGCTGCAAAAATCTGTTGACGCTCACACACACTCAGCATCAACATCATCAGCAGCCAGAGTAAGTACTCTCCATGCTTTTACATTAAGCTACACATATTAGAAATACCTGCAAAAAAATGTAAAAAATATAAATTAAGTATAAACAAAAGGATCAGATGTTGTTTAGAAGATTTTTTTTGTTTTAGGAATTAATCTTGAATTTTAACTTGAATTTTTTATTTATTTCAGTTTTTGCACAATTTAAAATCTAATTTACATACATTTAATTTCCAAAAAGATGATTTGTGGCCCTGAATATATTCTAATATATTGATTTTTTTCTCCGTTTTTGTGAAAAGTGTTTTTTTGAAGAAAAAAGATGAACAAAAAATTCTGTGCAGCTTTTTACAATTTGATAATAATTTAATAGAGCATACCGCTGCAAAGAAAAACATTTTCCAATGTTCTCGATGAAAGCAGCTGCTGCGTTTCCTCCATGTGGTAATTTAAATGCCCACGTTGCTCACTCATCCTGTGTTAACCGCAGAAAGGTGGAGATTGTAGCGCACATGTTAGGCATTTAAAAGATGCCTTTTAAAGTACTTCAAGCCCCTCACCAAAACATGCATCGCACAGGACCGGAGGGGGTGTCTATTTTTTGCTTTAACTCCTGTATGAAATGAAGTTGATCTTACTTCTTCTTTTCTCCCTCTCAGGTGTGTGTTGTGTGCTGGCTCTGCTGGTTAGAGGTTGCAGACAGCCTGTTTGATCACAGGAGTTTTCTGTGCAGCTCTTGCCAGCTTGGTGGTTCAGCCTCGATTTTCATCTCTGGTTCGTCACGATGGACGTCCTCTCCTACCTCACCTCCCCGTCCTCCTGCCCCCACGTGTACCACCTGCCAGCTTACCCCAGCAACAGCTCTGTGCCAAACGAAGCCACTACAGCCACAGGGTCCAACCAGGTGATCCTGAGGCACTACAACCACACGGGCCGCCTGCAGAACAGGACGACCTCAGTCACCCAGGCCCCCATCAGCGTCTCCATGTCCGTTTTCCTCTTTTTCAGCGTGTTTATAGTCCTGGAGAACTTCCTGGTGCTGGTGGCCGTCATCTCCCGCATCCGCCACAGCCGCCGCTGGGTTTACGTCTGCATTGCTAACATCACCCTGAGCGACCTGCTCACTGGTGCGGCCTACGTGGTCAACATCTGCATGTCCGGCAACCAGACCTTCCGCCTCACCCCTGCCCTGTGGCTCTTCAGGGAGGGCATGCTGTTTGTGGCCCTGGCAGCCTCCATCTTCAGCCTCCTGCTGATTGCGGTGGAGCGCTACACCACCATGATAAAACCTCTGCACCAGAAGTCAACCAGGAAGACCTTTCGGATCTACGGCCTGGTGGTGCTCTGCTGGATTCTGGCGCTGGTGATCGGTTTCCTCCCCTTGCTGGGCTGGAACTGCGTCTGCAGCCTGGATGGATGCTCCACTCTCCTCCCTCTCTACTCCAAGAGCTACATCTTCTTCTCCCTCATCATCTTCTTCCTCATCCTGCTGACTATCGGGGTGCTTTATGGTGCCATCTACTGCCACGTACACAAGAGTGCCCAGCTGGGCCCTCAACGCAACCGCAAACGCTCCCTGGCTCTGCTGAAAACAGTGATCACCATCGTGGGGGTTTTCTTGGTCTGCTGGGGTCCACTCTTCATGCTTTTGCTGGTGGATTTCTTCTGCGCCTCCCGCCAGTGCACCCTGCTGTTCAGCGCCGATTTCTGCATCTCCCTGGCCGTCTTCAACTCGGGCCTCAACCCCATCATCTACGCGTTGGGCAGCAGCGACATGAGGAAGGCCATGGCCGAGCTACTGTGCTGCTGCTGCCTGAGGGCCGGCCTCTGTCGCCCCGACAAGTTCATTTCCAAGGAGACCAGCAGCACCTCGGAGAACAGGAGGGACAGTCTGAGGAACAGCTTTAGCAAGGTCAGGAGTCTGAGTGTGGCCTCCCCACCGCCGACCCCAAGCAAACCTCGCAGAAAGTGCAGGCTGAGCACCACAACCAGCTGCCTGTCAGTTTCAAGTGGTTAAACCACAACGTGCTCCCCTCCCAAGCAAGCAAGACCGGTGTGCACTGACACACGTCTAACCGTTTCCTCTGACTCTTGGTTTGACTGTTCACAGCGCGGACGATAAGATGTTTAAAGAGAACTTTAAAAACAGGAATTTAGCATTAACTATGCAAGGAAATGAAAACTCTCAGGGAATGAAACATTCAGTTTGTCAATGCAACTCCTACATCTAGTGGAAAACTCTTTGTACTGGATCATTTGGATGACATTCAATGTATATTAATGTATTTTGAATGAGGAAAATGTGATGTAGTTTTGTACAAAAACTGATTGAAATATAAATAAATTTTATTTTGTGTTAAATATGATGTCTCGGAGTAGTGATGCCGCTAGATTCCTCTAGAGGGAGACACTTTATTAAAGGAGTCATGCAGATTTATATTAAAAATAATAAACAACTTTAAATTAATCATCATAAATGGCATCAGATCAGAAATTTATCTTATTTAGTCAAAAGAAAAAGATTGTTTTTCTTTTGAACTAAGCTTTAAACAGACTCGTCCCATGCTGTTTGGCACTTCCTGCTTTTTGACAGGATGACTGATGGAGGTTTCAGCTCAGGGCCCGGTCTGCAGCCCTAAGGGCACTAACAGCCAGAGCTAATTGATAAATTCATTACGACTGTCTGGCAGGCCAGAGAGATAAGCTGTAGCCGATAGTCTGCACATTCGAGTACACATGGCCGACTGTACCGCACGTCTGCTGCCGAGTACTGGAGCAACTTGTTTTGTCTTGACTTTGCAGTAACTATTTTTACAAAAGCAAAACTGTGACTTTCTCACAATTCATTTCACAGCGGAAGAGCAGTCACAAGAACCGATCTCACGGCTGGAGGGGGAACTCAAAGCAGCGCTTGTTGGTCGAACATCAAAATCTTTCCGCTTTCATTGTAATGTGTTTGCTTGGTTTTCTGAAGCATTAGCTTTCACTCTGAGGCAGTGAGTCATTCCTCACTTCATATCTGTAGAGAAAAACACTTCACTTGAGTAGCTTTAGTCTTCCATAACACTGAGGATTCAGGGTTAATGAGTAAAATCAAGATACTAATGTTTTAAGCAACTCCGATTATGCTGACTGAGACTTTTTGAGCCTTTCGTGTCTTACTTTGTTCAGATCAACTTCTCATGGTCATCAATTAAGTACCATGTTTTCAAAAAATTGAACTTGAATTCATTTTCATGGATTGGTATGGAAATGACCCCTACTGCAGCTGGTAGTGGTACTGTATGAAAAACTCCATGGTAGTACACAGGAAGCTCTGTAGTTAAAGAGTTCAGGTTAGCTGCTGTAATAGAATCAGGGGGAATAAAAAGACTTGAATGAGAAGCCAGTAACCTTTCTGGGATCGATGAATGAGCTTTGATCCGAGGGGTGGTTCTCCTTCAAGTGCTTGTTAGTGTGAGGATCCAAACGAATGAGGCTGTGCAAGCAATCAAAAAACTCCTCTTCTGCCTGGGCGGCAAATCACTGAAAACAAAGCTCAGCATGCAAGAGGGACACAATAGGTTGCTGGGAATCAGAATCCAAGACAGATCAGGTTCAATCAGAAACCTTATCAAAGGACCAGGCAGAACTTGGTGGTCAGGAGCAGAAATGATGCTCAGAGGTAGAAAAAGTAGAGGACTAGGTGAAAAAGGAGGATCCACGACAAATGAACAAAGTCTAAAGAGACTTTAGAACAGTTGTGCTTTAGGGAAAATCCACCATATTATAACTTGTGCACCTAATTCTTGTTTGGACAAAATATCTATTTTACACTGTGACAAAGGGAAAAGGTCAAACAGATAAATAAAAAGTCCATTTTGTTCTTTCTACACAATGTCACTATAAAAAAAATTACCTAAGTGTTAAAACTGAGCATTTCACATTTACTTATGCATCACAGAGTGTTTTAATTTTGTTGTTGATTTATTTTTTAACAAGCAATTTACCAAAATTGTTTGAAATAATATAGGTTTAATGAAAACATTTAATCACTTGTGTTTTAAATGTAGCTAAATGGTTTTTAAATTTTATATACATCTTCAAAACTTCAGAATAATTATTTGTATCTTGTAGTAGTATTTTTTTTCACTCTTTGTTTTTATTACATTATAGCATGACTTTCTACAGATATTTTTTATCTTTTTTAATCACCTGGGCCAAAATCCTCTAGTCAAACGTGAATAAAAAATAAACTAAATTCACAAAAACAATGTATTGTGATTTATTTTACCTACTTAGTAATTAAGTATGCAAATAATGTTTTAAATAAACAACTAAAATAGTAATACTTTGGTAGGAAAGGGATGTGTAAATCATATTAAATCCAAACCGAAAACAGGTATTTGCATGTTTGCCTTATTTAAAAAAAAGGTATCAAGTTTTCAAATTATTTTGGGCTCAATAGAGAAAAATAGCCTATTCCCAGCAATTAAGACACAATTTGGGTCAGTCGTTCTCTGAAAATGCTCGCTATAAGAAGCCAAGTTTCATAAACGAAATAAAAGTAGATTTGGGTTCACTTAAGTCTGCTTTTTGAGTAGAAACCACTGGATAGATGTGGTTCTATTTACTGCAAAATGAAATATTCAAAAAGCATTGTATTTTATTGGTAATAATTTTGCTCTTGATTAGAAATAAAAAGACTTTATCTACATCATCCACTTGTGCTTGAGGGCCAATTTTGCATTGCAGTCAGCAGCAGCACAAAATCAGTTCAGGAATCAAAAAACTTGTTTACTATGACTGGTTTACTAGGTGTAAAATTAACACTAGATGAACCACTGCACCTTAGTGATGTATCTTAACAGTTTCAGATCAGGATGACTAATTGTGATGGTGATTATTGAGGTTGACTCTCATAAATAAATGCGTGTGGTTAATGAATCATGGTCACAAATTCACTACCCCAGTTAAACAAGGTGTCCAGTGTGTTAAATGTGTCTTAACAAATTAGCAGATTGTTGCTGTAAATGCCTGGAACATCCCTGCAGACCACAATGCTCGTCATATTCCCCTCCCGACAAGTTAGCGCCAGGCCCATTAGCCTCAACAGGAAGAGCGCGCTCTCAGAGAGCGGGTTTAAAAGCTCAGACATGATTCTGGGATTTTATGTTTACTGTCTAATAGCACTATGTTTTTAGTTTTTTTTTTCTGTACCAAATACCACTCTGGCATTTCATTAATTTGCCATTTAGAAAGATATTAAGCATCCAGTAGCTCATAAATGATTTCTGAGACTGGTAATGCCTACAAAATATATTTAATATCTTATTATTGAGCTCAGTTTGCATGACTACATATATTTTCTTCACATCTAGCATTCTATGGCCTCTGAAAAATGTGATTACCAAAAGCTGTGACATAAAAGATCCTTCAAGATGTTGCAATAATTAACTGCAGCTTCCTCGTTAAGCCATGAACACTGTGTTGCAATGCATTCTTATTTGATGAGAATGTTCTAGTATCATTCAACCTCAAGAACTTGAGGTTTGAAAGGCCACAGTCAAAGTTTCTTTTGTCTGCTGTTTTCTAATCGAAAGAGCCAGGCAGCTTAGTTTTTGGATGGGTTCCTATGCGAGTTGTATTTAAATATTTTACAAAGAACATTTCAGAGTTTGGAATATGAATATGACAGAAAAATAAGAGAGGATGTATTGATAGCATAAATTTATTTCAACATCTTGTTGAATGTGCGACAAAAACACTGAGATGCTTTATAGCTTCATGAGAAAACTGGGGGGAAAAAAACTGTAAAACTTGTTTAAAAACAGATGTTGAGCAACAATTCTGCACAAACTCTGTGCCAAACTGATGTCAATGAACACAGCTTGTTAAAAGGGAATCATTTAGATGGTTCAAGGTCACTGTCATCTTTTTATGAGCTACCAATAAACCACAATCGAGTGCTAAACTACTGAACCTGTGTTGTTTATCTCAAAGTCCAAAGCATTTTTTTTTTCAGATTTCACAACCACATTTTTCTCAATTTACATACATACTTCACTAAAGCATTAGCTCTCTATTGCCCCATTTTTACTCTTAAAAATACAGACCTAAAGGTTTGTTCAGGTCATTGCTTGTCTTAAAGCACTTTGAATTGCCTTGTTGCTGAAAATATGCTATATAAATAAAATTACCTTACCTTAAATCTTAAGTTGAAATTCAAAATAGACCAAAGCAACAATTTGTGTCTTTTGATGTCATTAATGATGTCAAAGATGCTCCACACTCACTCCAATCTATCAATGTTGAGCTCAAATGGCTTGTGCAAGCTGCATGGCCTGTCGGTGTCAGTACAGAAAATGAAATAACAATTATAACAAGCAATATTTTCCCCTGAAACACAGACTGATGTCTAAGCCATCCAAAAGCAGGCACTTTTTAGGACTGCCTTACTCTGAATTCGTCTTTATTTAAAGCAGAGAAAGCAAACTCATCTCTGTCTGGATGTGTGCATTTGTGCTCTGCTAAACATGAGGGATAAGCTTCCTTCATCCCTCGGACCTGGCACATCTCCAGATCTGCTGCCTGAAGAAAAACCAACAGCAAATTCCTGCCTTTATTAGCTCAAGGCTCAGAGACATTTGTTGTATCACATCTGACTTGTCAGGGGTTGATCCTGGGCCCTCGTTGTTGCTCTCTGCCTCTCTTTCTCTCTTCTTACAACAACAAGGCCCGCTCTTTGCTCCAAATGAGGTACGATGGCTTAATGATGGTTGCGTGCAGACATGGCTATGCCCTCAATAATTATCTCGCTGCCTCTGCCTCCAGGTGTTGCGCAGACAGCTAATGATGGGCTGTCTGAGAGCAGGAGAAGGCAGTGGGTGAGGCAACGATCGGTGCAGAGGGCGATCGGCGGCTGTCAGCACAGCGACAACTTAGTGGCACATGAGAAAATTTAAAAAGAGATAAGAAACAATACATTTCTGTGTGGCCTATAGCTTATTTTAAAATTTGTCAGTGTTTGTCGTGAAGCAGCTCGCAGTGTTTTCACATTTTAAATTGATATTATTATTATTATTATTATTATTATTATGTCCAATAAAAATACAAATTTTTATTGTAAAGTGGAATGAAAATTTGCCTCTGGTCTGAACTTGTTTTAATGTAAAAATATGAAAGCATTGAGCTCACATAACTCGGACAGCTACTAAAGAAAATCCAGAATCCACCTGTGTGTAAGTTAATCTTGTTTAAAGCACGGTGGTGGCCGCATCATTCTATAAGCGAGGCTTTTCTTTAGCACTGACAAGTAAGCTTGACAGAATTGGTGAGGAGATGGATGGAGTTACATGCAGGGCGATCCTGGAGAAAAACCTGTAAGAAAGAGCGTGAAACAGATTTTAAGCCTGAGGTTAGCAAGACAACAACCCTAAAGATGCAAACAGAGCTATACACCAGGGGTGCCCAAAGCCGGCCCTCGAGGACCCACTTTGGACACCCCTGGTATACACTGTTCTAAAAATAAAACAAACAAAAAGAATATCCATGGTCAGACTTGTTCAGTCAAAGTCCACAAATTAATCTAATTGAAAATCTGGAGCGAGACATAAAGATTGATGTTTACTGACTCTCTCTATCAAACTGATTGAGCTTCGACTTATTTGAAATCAACAAGAAGCAAATAATTCAGCATCTCTATGTGCAAAGTTTGTAGAGCTGCCTGGACTCATAATTTCCTCAAGTATTTTTTTTTTTTTTAATGGGAATATACGTGGGGGGCTTATTTTTCCCAAAATGACTAATTGCTTTCAATTTTATGCTCTACTTTTTTCTCACCCAAAATTTCAATCTTTTTGTTTTTCCAGCTTTTGTATGTTTTCCAAAATAAACACACAAATGGAAAGTAGTTACCAGTTGACATGAGTAGGTGTGCGCATAGCGGTGACAGCAGGAGAATGAGATTCAGCCCTGGACTCGCACTGGAAATAAAGACATTAAACTTTCCAGTTAAGCATATGTGACCGAATAAGAGCTTATGAAATGAATACGTACTTGAGTTATATTTATCATACATCTGTAGCTATGAACACTAATCGCTGTTACCACAGATGTCTTCCTGTATGGAGATACGTCAAGAAAGCCGATGACGTGATCCGGTTGAAATGGTCCGGCTCCACTTTTAGCTTCATCTGCATGCATGCAAAGGCCCGGTCTGATTAGAAGACATGTCAGTGGCTAAATGTAACCAGGTCATTCAGACAGTAAAATCAATTGTATTGAGGAGAAAAACTGTATGGTATTTTATTTTGACACAAGCGTTTCCAGTGCCCTGCTGCTTGATTGATTGATTGATTGACTGATCACAAATCACTTGAGCTCCTTGTCGGAAGAACGTCAAGTTTCCAAAGTGGTTGAAACTAATCCTGCAGCGATTGGGTTTGCATACTGTCAAGTCAAGCGACCTGACTCTATAGGAACAGAAAATTACCAAGAGGAGTGGTTTAACCAGTGTGTATAAACTTTAGGGTACCTGAACTGTGAGTGACACCAACACTTGATTAAAGACATGCAGCTCATCATGCTGACAGAAAGAAAAGGAAAACCTCCCACAATGTAATAAACGACAGAAATTACAAGAATGCCTTGACTCAGATGAGCTGCATCTCAACGAGTGAAGGATTATTATTCCTTTTGCACTTGCACACACCTGCAACGTGGAGCAAGAGACACCTCGTAAAAGATTGTATAATGTGCCAGCCAGTTTATCTGGAAGGTCCAATCAGCTGCCAGGATGATAAATAATGTCGCATTTAACTAACTCACTAAAAGGTTTCCAGCAAATATCTATTTATCTTGACAGCAATGCATCTTATTGTCCAACAAGATTTGTCTAAATCAGTGCGACGTTACTGTAGTATCCAGCTATGGCTTCTGCCAGACACCTTTACTTGCTGAAGGGGTAAACATGTCCAACGCAGTTCTAGTTTTTTACAGAAAACTTGTTCTCCTGCTTCATAAATTCAGTGCTTTGTTTTGAACGTCATTAAACTTAATAACTAGGGTTTCAGCTTCTCTCCGTTTGGCTCCCCCCCGCAATAACAGCTTTCTGACCACAGCATGCAGGGCCGGTCAAATGACAAAGAGAGAAAAATATAAGTATAGTCTGTCTTTTGTTGTGTACGTCAATATTAAGGGTGAAGTATCCTCTAGTTTAGTTTACAGTGTTTCTAATCTCAGGACCTTTGCTGCATGTCGTATCCCTTTTGCGTACGTTTGTTTAAAGGAGCGGCAATTTGTTTTTCCAGGCACATCGTGCCATTTTTCACCACAATCAAGTAAATATGCCGCCTTCTGCTGTGTATATCAACAACAACTTTAAAGAAATCAGAAATTATCCTTTATGCTGTTAACAACCATTCTTAGGTGCGCTGGACTCATCAGTAGCTTGTATAAAGAGCTCAGCAGATGGTACTAATTTCTGCTGGCTAGTCTGAAGGGGCTGAGTGGGTGAGAGGTGGGAGGTGGGGTACTCAGTGATGTGTAAACTCAGCTGGAGTCTGCAGCTCCAAGGAGGAACTTTGTGTAAATACGTGGCACGTTATTTGAGCAAGAGTTTAAGCAACATGTCAGAGCTGCTGTTGTGTTTTTGGACGTGCCCAAGAAATTGGTGGCAACCTTGCTTTGATGGAGGTCATGTTTGCTTTGTCAAAAGCTTAGGAAAATTGGAATAGCATATTTGTAAGGTGGCATACTTTCCTATACAAGTAAGAATAAGGGCAGATATGGTACAGATCATTTAAAAAAGTAATTCAATCTGAAACTTTGGACTTCATTTAGACATCCCCAGCGGACAGAGATCTGGGCACGTTCACGCAAAGGATGGATTCCCGAGGGATGTACCCGAACAGAAACCGCCAGATGTGCACTGAGCCGGTCGTTCAGTATCTGGTATTTTTCATTCATGCAGAGCATGAGTTCATCCATTGGCAACATCAGGAAGCTCTTCTTTCTACTCAAAGGAAAAAAAAAACTCCCCCAAGAACACATCCTGGTTTACTTGGCTAGCTTTCAGTGTACCATTCCACATTCAATCGTTAATGATAAATATCCAGTGTTATGGTTACAGTTGCACCCCGTCAATCATGATCTGTCTGTTTTATCCAGGACAAGAAGAAAAAATTTGCATGTAACCTTCTTCATGCCCCTCAAGTCAAGAAACCGCTATTATTTCTGAATTTTATCCAGGATGATGTCTTCTTGTCTGTTATGGTTTTACATCATGCCTTTTCTCTAAATAAAGACATAAAGACAAAAAGATTCAGCAAACATAAAGCAGAGTGGAAATAGGATAAATAAAACAAAACGGAGCACAAACAACTGTGGAAAACTAAATTCATGAGTTCTTTTATAATTAAGTGTAGAATGCCCTTTCACCTTGACTCGATTATGTTATTTTTTTTTCCCCCCTCTGCAATACGACTTAGAAAAAGGGTCATTGTAGGGAGATTTTTTTTTTTTCTGATGCCAGTGCGAACACATGTGGAGGAGGCAGCTCTTTCAAAATCTACAGCAGCCCTGAGAACAGCTGTTTCCTCTTTATCAGATTTCAGATAGCACACAGCGGATACACGGGAGAACCGCCAGAGGTTATGAGATATAAAACGACAGAGGCAGCCAGACTGTCAACTTAGATTCTCTTATTAAACATTTGTTTTGTTTTTAATGAATAAATAACATGTTCCAGTCAAAACAATGAAAAAAGACACCACACTTTTTCAAAGTACCTTTTCTTTGCGCTAACGTTTTGAGCCGTTAAAATACAATTACCAATAACAACACGAGTTTTCTCCCGAGGCCTGGATGCTGGCCATCTGCTCCGACTTTGTTGTCAACCTTGGGAATATATGTGAGAGTTTTTCCCTCTCTCCTCTTTTCTTAATCCTCTCTCTCTCCTTCTTGTTGTGCTCTGGACTGAGAATTGTGACCACTTAACTAATTGTGTGGTGAAAGATGTTCTGAGGGTGATTATTAGGGTTCGGTTGCAGAAAGTTTCCAAAGCGATGAGACGGGCTTTCTGTAAGAGGAGCACTCCAGGCGACTGTTAAAAACAAGAATCCACAGCCATCCCAGCAGCTGCCCCAGGCTTACGTGTTCTCATAATAATACACTGGTTTCGAGCAGTCGGTGGTTATAAAACTGGAGTATTTCAACAAGAAGACAAATAACTTTTTTTTTACTTGTATTCCAACATTATTATTATTATTTATTTATTTTTTTTTGTATTTTGGAAAAATTGCAGAAGTTGAAACCCAGGAGCCAGAAAACCAAACGTTTTCCTAAACTCAACCAAATCATTCAGTCCTGAATGATTTGCAACCTATCCATCCTCACACAGAAAAGCAAAACATAAAAATTGGCACAAAGTTTTATAGCATTCTTTCTTGCTTCATGGAGAGCACATTTAGTCATGGCTTTCTATGATTGTACTTGTTGGGAAGGAGAAACTGGATGATCAACTCCTGATTTAAGAAATAAATATTATAAATCAAATATAAATATTTCTTTTGTCAAGTCAAGAGCTTTATTGTCCTCTTGGGCTTAGACAGACGACACAACCACACTTGGGGTGGAGATAAATAGAGCTTTAAACTAAATATTCAAAATAATACATTTTTAAAAAATTCAATACACAATTACAATGGAGCGAATATTGTGCAAATGTGGCGACTATGCAGGTTTTGTAGCGCTCAGTTGCTGTGAATCAATGTGATATTTATATATTAGAAGTAAGACGTATTTGTTTCTCAAAACTAAAAATTAAAACTCTGCTGCTTGTGTGGCTTTAGAACACGTCTCAAACCTACAACTCTCCGTATGAAGCCAGTAAAGAGTATTTTTCATTACCGGCGCCAGCTGAGCAATAAACCCTGCCCCAACTTCGCACATTTTCACCCCGCACTTCAAAGCGCTGTCACTCTTCTCCTCTCAGGGCTCAGATTGGTCTTGAGAGGGTTTGGACCGGCAGGTTCTGAGTTTCTCGCTTCGCTCCATGAGGCCCGAGGAGTGGAAGGAGCTGCAGCTTTGTGAAACAGATGTTCCCGCTCAGCTCTAAACCAAATTACGCAGCGAGCTCGGAGCCACAGGCCACAACCGCATGGATGCTGATTGAACGGCAAAGAGGGGGCAAGGAAAGCAGATCCGGCTCAATAAAGCGGCCACATCACGAAATCTGGTCAGCCTTTGAGACGCGAAGATGAAAGGGATATTGACATCACTATGGAGACTAAAAGGAGAGCTGGAGGCTTTGGCGTTGGTACCCCGCTGCAGTTTTGTTTTCAGCGTCGACGCATTAAAAAAACGTGACAGATGTGTCTCAAAAATAAAGTGGAACCTCACAATTCTGATGATGCTGAGTTAAATTCCCCAGATTTGCAGGGAAAATTACATCTTTTATTTCATGGTGTGGAAGCATTACTCTGAAAGGTGTTTCAAAGTAATGATCATCGTCTGTCTTGAGAATAAGTACCAACTTAACGTTTCACCATCTCTCAATTCTGTTATGAAATATCAAGTTGCATTAAGATATACGGCTTAAAATGTTTTCAGAAAGGTGCAAATTAAATTCCTTTGACTTTATTTAATTCTCATGTACTTTCTAGTTTTAGTACATTTTGGACGACTGGCTTTGTTTCCTTTTGCATCAAATCACTGTTAGTAGTTACATGTACCGTCAAACAAGTATTTGTTTTAGTATCCTTTGCAGATGAGGATACACAAAACCCTATGCATTAATTATCGAACATAGGGTTATGGTTTCTAACTTGTCTGATCTAGTAAAACAATTATCTTTAGCTAAAAATGGAAGAATGTAGCTTTAATGTAAGGTTTTAATACTTGAGATTCAACAAAAGTTTTCTTTAAGAAGACCTGGCTAGCTTTGTTTTGCATCTATCGAATATTTGTTTTATTAAGTTTCTTTCTTAATTCTGCATGCATTATGTTGTGGCTTTTTTCCTCATAAGCATAGCAGGACATAAATTGTAGTCCGTACCAAAAAAAATGACTAAAATATGTTTAAACAGTAGTTTATGTTGAATAAATGTGGTCTGGACAGGGTTGAGTACTAATCTATCAATTGCAAACATTCATCCTGTCATCGTAGATATTTTTCTGCGTCGATTATTTTCTGCTTTAGTAGGGAAATCTAAAACAAACACGCTAGGAAGCAGGTCCGGGCGTTGACAAGTGAAATTTAACCAACAAAAACCCTAATGGATAATCACAGATTTAATGAGAGTAGCGATTCCTTTCCACACAGAAATAACTTCTGCACAAATTGTTTTGCCTTTTCCCATAATAAACCAAATCACCGTCTGACAACTGTACTTTTTTTTTATTCATCAGTGTTGTTTTTTTTATCCTATTAAAATAGTCTCATGATCAGAAATATTTAAGTGCGACAACAAAGCAGAAACTGAAGGAACTGTAGTGTCCTGTGAGTCTTGTGGACAAAATGTGGAAATAAATCAACATTTAGATCATGGCAAGGAAAGGAGGGACAACTAGCTGGAGGTTTGTCGTCTCTGCGTTAAATTGTTACTCTCACCAAATAGTAAGTTTGACGTGCGGATTGAAGCTTTCGGAAGCTTAAAACATTTACAAAACAGGTGAGAAATTGGTCAAAATATTCAGCTCAAATACATAGAAAGTGCACAAACACTGCTGTTCAATATTTTTGCCAGGACTATAATGTAAATACAGATTATTCCAGAAATTTAATAATGGAAGAATAGAAACTGTTTTTTATTTTTATTTTGTGAAGATAAGTTGTTTTTTTTATACAGAATTTTAAAGATTTAAGAAAATATTTCTCAGACTTATTCAAACTTCATCACTTTGAATTATTACTGGACTAGACCTGGAATGAAAACATGGCTAGACCTTAAACTAAGTCATGCATCAAATTGTTGAACACTGTTGAAAGAGTCCTGACATTTAGAATAATGGACGTTATGCACCATCGTCTAAAGCATTTTGTTAGACTGAACACTTACATAAATCACAGCTAACTTGTCAGTCGTACCACCTGGTCTGAACAAAACTCTACACCCATCACCTCCCTGTCCTCTTTTTACCTGATGATCTCCTTTAAGCTGAACAATTATCCTGTGAAATTAAATGCAACATAAAAAAAGAAAAAAAACTTTTACAGTCCCTGTCGTGAACGGCGAAGCCACTGGATTAGAGAAGATTCATCAAACTTAATGACGAGCTTCCATTTTCCTCTGGGCATAAAATGTACCACAAAGCTCACTTCCTTTAGTGGCCACGGGAATCTGAGGAGTCGGCAGGAATCAGCTTTGCACACACTCCCCATCAGTGCAAATGGGAACTGCTGGGTGACATTGATTACCCAGGCAGACATTTCACTGGGATTACGCCACAGTCTCAGTGGAAACAGTGGGAAATAAAAATGAAAGCTGCGCAAAACAACAAGATCAGCTGTGTGGGTTTGTGACACAAAAAAACCCCCTAAAAAACACCAAGAACAGACCTGTATGTAAAGAAAGCTAAATATGACTCATTTGTGTTTAGCTCAGAAGGTGCAGGGCTGCTGATTGACAAGTTCAAGAGCTTGACTGTGATTTTCATGGCTGACTAAAAGCGAGTCTTCAGTCTATTCGGGGAAGGGTGCGGCCACCTTAACCCAACTGAAATACTGAACTTGGGTTGGGTTTACTTGCTGCATGCAGGACGTGTCATCCAAGTTAGTGAGCTCCACTCCTGTTCCTGCTGAACTGAGCCAGTTTTCAGGTAAAACACTGATACCAGTTCAGTAGGCACAGGAGGGCACAGCCCGGCACTCTTTCACAGGGCAAACCTCAGCGTACGAAATTCTGCAGAAGTCAGGTCAAACTTATTTATAAAGCACATTTAGAACAACAGGGTCGATCACAATGATGCACAATGAACCCCCTGAAACAGACGACAGGATTTAAAGGAAAACAAACGAAAATGTTTGGAAACCGTAAAGAAATGGTGATCATACAATGCTAACGAGATTCAAAACTAAATCAAAGTAATTGAGAATAAATGCATTTTAAATGTTTTTTAAAGCTTAGTAAGCAAATCTGAAACAAATAGACATTAAAAGAGCACTTACGAAATATTCAAGTGGCAAACCATTCAAAACTTCTTCCAACTTTTTCCTGGTTTTAGGTAAAAGAAGGAAGCAAAGAGACGAATTGGAGAGTGGCTGATAATCAGATCTTACGGTCATAAAAGCCCTATAACTGTCCTTTTTTAATAGTTATTGGTGACAATGAATTAATTATTTCAAATATTTGAGTTGTAAGGAGCAGTTGTTCAAGAAATTTAATATTTCAGAGGTATTTTGAGGGTCACAAATGACGATTTCAAGCAGGCCAGCATTTAACCGTAGAAAATTATAAAAACCTCCAGGATCACGTCATTAGTGCTGTTTAAAATGTATATTTATTCTGCGTGATTCTCAGAATCTGAGAGAGAATAAATCTGTGTGAACATTGTAATGAAATGCTGCATTTTTCCCAGGAAGCACATATAAGGTAAATAAACACTATCCCTGAGGAACACCACAATTTACAGAAAGGTTGCTTCATTTATGCAGTATGAAAAATAACAATAATCATAAAGCATTAGCTATTCTCTACCTCATCAATACCTCATACTCCCTATCTGTTGTTTGTTGCCTTATACATAGTTTTATAGTTAACTAAAAGCAATCCCACATCTATGCTTGAATACCAAACAGTTTAAAATACAGTGAAATAACACAAAGCTGTTCATAAAGCTTTGCACAAAAGCAACAAATGATTTGATTTGTTTTTAATTTAGTCTGCAGAATATTTAGAAATACTTTTAGTTAATTGGGCGCAAACAAAACTTACAGAAAAAAATATTCTCATGCTTCATAAACTTAGTATTTGCTTTGAACGCTCTAAGATGTAATAACTAGTGTTTTGGCTGCTGTCTGGACAAAGCTTGCAAAGCATGCTCAATGAAACAGAAAGACCAGAAGTGCTGAGACAAAACCCACATTTCTTAGCTCAGTCAAATGTGCTTAGTCTACGTTTTGCACGGTATGCACACAAATATAAGTCATGCTTTTCATAAACTGTCCACACAAATTGTATTTTCACAGCTCGCTGGTGTTGCCACAAATATTAAATCCCAGACATTATCCTAACAACAAATGGTATCTGACATCAGTCTCCAGCAACAATCATCTAAAACAATCCCCAGCATCATAACCGGGTCATTTCTTGCTTAAGACTTTTACTATCGTTTTTTTTTCTGCATCTTACCTTGTTTTACTGCAATGTTTTTAAAAGCTGAGAAAATATCTATTGAAAAAAGCCACTGACTGATGTACAAGGAAAAATATTTCTAGCTTACACATCTTATGCATACGACAATATCTCTAACTTCAACTAGACTATGTGAAATCTTTACTTTGCGCAACTCAAAATGGGATTAAAAATCTATTTATGTTAATGAAAAAAATGTAAAAGTAATATAGTCACAAAGGAAGGATACAAAATGCTATATACTCTGAGTTTATCATGCTGGGAGTGTTAATATCACTAATATTTACCCGTATTACTAGTTTCCATTCTAAAAACAGAGCTGCACAGGAAGGACTACGACAAACTTCAAGTTATATTTAAGAATCTTTTTGTTTCACTCCTTTTCAATAGGTTGCACCAACCCTGTAAAAAATGAGTTTAATACTGAGGTACACATACTGTGGCATTCTCACAGATAAAGATTAATGGCATCACTGTAAAATGGCTCCATTTCAGACTAAAGATGAATGTTACCATGAGTCAGAAAACACAAGTGCTCGTGTGTCGCCTCCAAAATACCTCAGACAGACTCTGAAAGTCATCAAGTCTCCAGCAAACTCAACTCTCGCATCCACTCGGTCACGATGTACGCCTTGGGGTTGTGTTAGTCAGCGGAGTGGGCCGGAGCGAGAATATTAGGAAACGCTGGAAACTGTAATTCAAACTTTTGTGGTCAGAATGAATGCTGTGATTTCCATCATAACAGGAAAAGTGTTGAATCTGGTAAGTGGAAAAGAGCACCATGAACACACCACAGGCTAATAAAAATGTGATAATTTTTTTATAAATTAAAAAGTAAAACTGCCTTAAATACAATTACAACTTGTCCCTTTCTTGAATTGGATTGGTATTTCCTTCCTTCCTTCCTTCCTTCCTTCCTTCCTTCCATCCTTAAAAACGTCAGTAAAAAAAATGCAAGCAAAAAAAAGAAGCAACAAATAAATAAACGATTTGTAAAATCAAAAACAAAATATGTTTGAAGAGGAGCAGGAAGAAGCAGTGACTTATCCAGTCACAATAAACATTTAAACTCTCAATCAGTAATGACACTCTATTCACTTTATGATGATATATATTTAAGATTGTTTTTAAATTATTTTGCACAGGCTTGAATGCTGTCAATGCAGGGATAAAATCAGAAGAGACGTCATGAGGTTGCTTCAAATTTTTTTCCGATCGCGTAAAGTTCGTATAGTATTTTAAATTATTGTACATGGGTCACATGGTGAGATTTTTGGGTCGGTTTATGAGAATATTCTAATCTAAATGACAAAAGTTTCTTTCATGCACAAGGAGAGCAGAACAAGTTCAAAAATCACACTTCAGGCCATAATCGTGACCTTATCCTCCGTACACGTCATTTCATCTCCTCCTGACCTCTCACTCCTCCTTCCCTTCTTCTTTCAGCTTATCCGAGATCATCAAGTTCAGTCCATCCACCGGAACAAATCCTCCACGTTGAATCAACTATTTCACCTCAGGCACTGAACTTAGCCACTGTGAACAACACATTGCAGGGATCAATGCTCACCAATTAGCTAAGCTCTGTGCCTTTAGCAAGTGGGCGGCTGGCTGAGATTTATGCAGACCTTTACGTGAGACGTCGGCAGTGAAGTCAGTGGTTTCAGATTCTGCAGAGTGTTCAGAGGGCGCAGTGGAGGGATCTCCACTTTTATCTTAGCTCTCCAAATAAATTCCTTGTTTATAAACCCTAAAATCCAACATCTGAAATATAAACCTTCTCCTGTGTGGCTCTGGCTTGCATTTACATCCATTTCCTGGCACATTAGAGCACAGAGTGGTGAGGATAGTTTAAAATTTCAAACAGCTGCAGCCTTAAATACACACAGACACAACTTAACCTTTTAGAGGTCTGCAGAGATGGCTTGATAGCGTTTTGGTTTAATTCCTCCACTGCTCCAGAATCGGGCCTCAAAATGAGTCCCTGGGTTGGAAATGTGAGGTCGGGACAGACGTCCTGCTGAGCTGTGAAGGAGTGGAAATCCCTGGCAATGTGATTTTTGTTTCTCTTTGTGCATCAAATCACGGTGCCAGGAACCCTCCCCTAAAACAGCGAGACCAGAGGCCCGGTCTCCACCTCTCTGCCCTTTACCGCCCTCCGCACTGTTACATTGTTTTTAGACTCCAGATGCTTCTTTTCCGCAGCAGCTGTGGAACACCTGTGACCTGGAGAAAAAGAAAAAGAAAGAGAGAGAGAGAAAGCGAAAGAGAGAGAGAAAGAGATGGAGAGGGAGAGAGAGAGAGAAAGAGAGAGGAGATTTTAGATCCATTATTTCTCTCTCTGTGAAACAAAACCTTCATATCAGACCTCGCAGTGTTTTGATGATAATATATGATGCACTTAAGAGCACTCATCCAAGCCCTGCATTGGAAGATGACGCAACATAATGTGCGTAACAGAAAAATTGCATTTGTGAGACAAGATAAAAAAAAAATAATAAAAAAAAAAACTCTGCGGGTTTTTTGTTGCAGTGATCAGCAGGAAGCAGCAGATGTGGAGTCTAGCTGAAACATGCAGAGCCAGCTACCTGCTCGATTGTTTTAACGCAAACCAGGAAACTCTAGCGGTGCGCTGCCAGTGGGTGTCTGTGCAGTCCCGGTTTCAGTTGAGACAGAAAGATGTTGGTTTGTTTTTCAACTGTCTAAGGCTTAATGTTGCTTGATGAGGACACAGAAAAAACAAAACAAAACAAAAAACACTTCTGCCATTTTCACAACTTTCTCCTTGCAGAATTGTAAATGTCGAGGTGTACATCTATTCCATGTTTTGTTGTTTTTTTTGTTTGTTTGTTTGTATTTGTTTGTGCTGCTTTGCAGAGAAATTTTCCGGCCCACCCGGGTGGGGAAGGAATAATGACAGGATTGTTGAGCAGTGAAGAGGAGGATGAGGTTAGGGCCGAGTCTCGGCGGTTTTTCCTTGATCACTTTTTGTGCATCATCTCTTCTCTTTCATTCCGGACTTTAAACCATCTGGGCTGGCGGAGTTTCCTAACAACAGGGTAAAGATGCCGCTTGGAAAAGTCTGGAAGGTTTTAAAACTTCATTCACATGTTTTCCATAAATAAATACAATAACTAAGAGGAAAAGTCTAATGTTTTCTTCTGTTGCAGGAGAGACAGTCTGTTTTACTTAAGCTTTAATTGATTTATGTACACAGAAACACATATTACATTAGAAAACAATCAAAATCACAGCCTTTAAAAATGAAAAACCTTAGCTATCCTGTCTGAATAAAGATTCATATTTCTAATTTTTCTCCATAAAGCCTTGGTATTCATGCGCAGAGCCTCGGTACACGTTGTACAACCTTTAAAAAAAAAAGGCATGCAGACGTCTTCCAGACAGAGAAATATGCCTGTGCTGTCAAGCAGTGTGTT